TGTCCTCCAGCTGTACTTAGGTTTGTTGGGCCCATCTTGAGCTTTTGGTCTTTGTTTTAAGATGTCATGCACGTCCTGTACACTTCCCCATTTAAGAGGTGCACAGTTCCTCTTTTTTTTTATTGTAAGTTGTACCAGAAACTGCTCAGGAAGCAGGGACACGAGTCCAAATGACCACTAGGACTTTCAGGTTTGCAAGACATCGGTCTGGTGATCCCCCTGTAGCCAGTAGTGCTCCCTTCCTAGATGTTTTGGGGCAAAGTGGTTCCTGAGCCCTCTTTTAAGTTTTTTCCTTTTTTACTTCATGTTGGCCTTGAACTCACTGTGTACATAAGCCCTTGAACTCTCAGCAGTCTTCCTGCCTCAGCCTCCTGAGTGTTGGGACTATAGGTTTGTGGCACTATGCCCAGCCATTTGGTTTTAAGGCAGGGTTTTGCTGTGTAGCTAAGGCTGGCCTCCAACTTATGAGCTCTGCTCAGCCAACCCAGTGCTGGGCTTACAGGTGTTCATCGCTCTGGGTCCTTTCTATCGTAGGGTCCATTTTTTGAGGGGGGCAGTGCTTGTGCACACCCAGCAAGCACTCTACCACAGAACTACATTCCTGGCTCTGATCTTGTCTAGTTGACAGCAGTGTTGCCTCTGGCATTTGAGAGCTGTGTGAGTTGGCTAAATCGGACACTACAGGACTCTGTTCATGTTTTCCCTGGGCCTGTTGATTGTGTGTTTTGTGACCTTTAGCACATTGCCAAAAGCACCTGTTGCAGGTGTAAACCAGCTGGTTCTGGTTGACTATTATTATGAGTAGAAGGTGTCTAGTCCTGCCATATTACCCAGCTGGTCTTGAACTCATGGCTTCAAGTGAGCCTCCTGCCTTGACCCTCCCTAGTGGCTGGAACTACAGATGTGTGACATTGTATCCAACCTGTCCTTTTAATTATTATTTTTGATACAGGCTCGCTATGCAGTTCAGACTCATGATCCTCCTGTCGTAGCCTCCCTAGTGCCGGGATTACAGGCATGCACCACCATGCATGGTTTCGGGGCCATCACAACATGTGGTACCAAGGACCAAACTCAGGACCTTGTGCTTGCCAGGCAAGTACTTATGCCACTAAGCTATCTCCCCCTGTAGTCCTAGCTTCTTAGGAGACTAAGGCAGGAGGATTGTGGGTCTGGGGACAGCCCAGTCAACATAATATAGTAAGATACTATCTTGGGGTGGGGGGGGCAAAAAACATTGATCTTAAGTATGTAATTCAAGGCCTTCTAGTACATTTTATAGAATTATGCAGCGATTATCACAATCTAATCTTATTTTATTTTTTTTTACAATTTTATTTTATTTTTAAATTTTTATTTATTTGTGTGTGTGTGTATTTGTGTGTGTGTGTGTGTGG